AACTGTGGCCCTGATTTCTGAAAAATGAGATCTTCACCCAGATGGGGCGTTCCTGATTACATTTTGTCTGATCGAGGACGTTCAGTTTGTGTCTGAGGTGTTCCGGAACTCTGCGCCCAATGGACTGTAACGCCCAAACTCACCCACCGCCTATCACCCACAAACTAACATGACGGAAAGAGGTAATCGTACTTTGAAAAGTATATGATCGCCTCTTATGTGGGACAATAATCATGCTAAATGGGATCAGTATCTGTCAGAGTTCAGGTTTGCTATTAACTCTGGCGGTTTCAAGAGACTACAGGAGTTACTCCTGCTGAACTGCAAATTGGCCGAAAACTTAATAGTCCCCTGGATAAGGTCCTGAAAGCTAAAGTTTGGCCCCTAATGCCCCTGCCTATGATGTTGTCCATCAGCTGGCCAACTCAAAGCTTGATGTAGAGGAAAACATCAAGGAAGTCAAAACAAAGGCAGCTGCGGAGCTTACAACAAAAAACGCCGTGATGTGGTTTCAGACCAAGGCAAAGAGTGTGGATAAGAACCTTTCCTCAGTCACATGCTGGGAAAAAGTTTCACAGCTTAAGCTGGCACGGAAATGGAAAGGACCTTACAGAGTTGTGCAACAACTAGGACCCTTAACTACCGTGTGGTTTTGGAGGATACTGGTGAGGATGTACGGACTGTACATGTCTCAAATCTGCGGCCTTTCTACCCCACTGCAGAGGATTTGGAGCACATAGAAAGGAAAAAGATGCAAGAGATCTTCCAGGAAAGTTCTGAGGACGAGGATTTCAGGTGTTCTTTGGACTAAGGTGAAGGAGGAAATCTGAACGACCACCATTAGTGGTCTTGGCGAAGGGGGAAGGAGTGTAGCAGGGCAGGATGTGAGTAGAGAAGTGACATCACACAAAGAGGAGGAGGAGAGGTTACAAATGAGAGACACCTGAACTGGAAAAAAAAAAAAAAGCTCAAACAAAGGAGAACAAAGGAGGCTGAAGCAGAAACAGTGAGAGACTCAGTGAGAAGTGAGAAAAGGAAATGAAGGAAAAAAACCAGTACTGGGATCTGGAACTGAAAACTCTGAGTAAACTGGAGGTGAAAAAAGAAACACAAAAGAAAGGAACAAAAGGATCGGTTAAGGAGAGAGGATTGAGCTCCGGGGAACAGGCGACAGTCTCAGGCGGTTTGGATCTCAGCCAAAACACCTCTCTCTGTCCAGGTCAAAGGCCGCACTCCTTTCAGATAAGTCCCTTCACCCTCATTCTCCAGGCTTCTCCAGCTGACTGCTCAACTCACCTGCCCCTCACATGCACACACACACTTATACTCATCTCAAAACCCCACTGACTTCCATTGCATTCATTCATTCAATTGCATTCATTCTTTCCTACACCCTCTCACCCATCCTCATATACCCACACCCCACAGGCCTCCTATGAACTTGAACTGAAACTGAACTGAAATAGAACTGAACTGAACTGAACTGAAATGAACTTGAACTGAACTGAACTAAATGAACTGAAATGAACTGCACTGAATTGAACTGAACTGAACTGAACTGAACTGAAATGAACTGAAATGAACTGAAATGAACTGCACTGAATTGAACTCCTTCCACCTAAACTGAGGCTAAACTGCTAGCCTGTGATTATAGTTATTATGAGCCCGATTACGGAGTGAATTTAATTTCTGTGATTTGATTATTTTAATTTCTGTAAATTGATTTCTAAAGACAGTATTAATGATTTAATTAAGATGATGATGATATTTGTTTTTGTTGCTGACTGATTACTAAAGACCAGTATTAATGTAGTAATTTAATGAGGATGATGATATTTGTTTGTGGTTGCTGACTTATTTAATATATGAATATGAGACACCTGGGTTTAATGTGATTTTTGTAGCCCTGAAGTAAGCGAGCAGCTGGGGTTTTGTGCTCTCTCTAAAGGGAATTAATATAAATAATTTAAATATTGATAGGTTTAAGATCATTAACTCTTGCCTGTCTGGCGCCCAACCTTATTCTTTTTTATGAGAGGCAGCTTCTACGCTACCAAGACGCTGAGCTGTCGTCTGCAGCAACGAGCGTCTCGACTCGGACTCCTAGGATACAGTAGCCACACCCTCTGGAGACGCCTGGACACGTTTCAGACAGACATTGTCTCAGTCAGGAGATACTACAGAAAGACACAGCTGCTGATACAGGTACACTACACCTGCTGACACCGAAGTCTTGATTGAACTCATCTCAGTGAGTAAATCTGTATAAATGTTTTACGTGTGTGTGTGTGTCTGTGTGTGTGTGTGTGTGTGTGTGTGTGTGTGTGTGTGTGTGTGTGTTGCAGGTGGATGCAGACAGAGATGAGGAGGTGGTATTTGCTGATCTGAGTCCAGTCATAAGAGAAAAACTGCAGCTGAAGGATCAATAAGGTATTGATTTGTTGATATTAGTGACCAGTCATCAAACCGTTTGATTCAACATGAGTGTGATGTCACTGTGACATCACAGTTTATACAGCACACTTAAAACAACAGGAGTTGAGCTTGGAACAATAACAGATGGATCAATATATAATATATATAATAGTTGATTTAGTATTGATTTACGAAGCATTGATTGATTGATTGATTGATTGATTGATTGATTGATTTGTCTCTGTTTCCAGATTCTACTGGTATCCCAGAATCCATCAGTGATGTCCATCAATAATATGACCTTCCTCTCTCTGAGCCAATCAGTGATCAGTATGGAGCAGTCTGATAATAATCCTGTGTGTCGTGGTCAGTGACATGTGAACTTTGATATGGTAACCTAGGTAACTAACCAGCTGTAAATTAGAGGACCTGAACTGTTGTTGAAATGGTTGTGACACCATGTGACAACAATGTCCCTGCTTCCTGTTTCCTGTTTGTGATTGAATAATGATAAAACTTTATTCTTGAAACTTATTCTACGAATGATTCATAAAATGTGAAATATTTCACATTTATTCTGAAAATCCCTGGTGTAGTTTCCTCTCAGTGACTCGTTCGTTTACAGTGAAGGATTGTGGGAGATCAGTCAGCTGGTAAACAACACAGATTTTAACTGAATCCAGGCTGACACACATCAACAGTTTATTTTAAACTGAACTCCCCAGGTCCTGATCACATCAGGTGGGGGAGGGGCGTCTGTAGAGCATCATGGGTAATCACAGTCCTTATCACAGTGGGGAATGTTAATGACACACAGAGACCAAGACCTCAGGAGATAAAGGCACTGAAATAGACTGAAGACCTGACCCCCCCACCCCTCCCCATTTACTGACATTTACTCAGACAGATCCTGAATGAGACCAGAACCAGGATCCTGAGGTGTCACCATGTTCTCCATTTACTGCGAGGCCCGAATCCTTGGTCCCAGTCCAAGTCCGAGACTCTGCCCCATCCGGGTCTAGCTGTGCACCAGAACCAGCTGAATCAAGAAATCAAAGATTTTCTAAATTAAACAGAGTCTAGCCCACATATTTCCACATCTGGGCAGAGTCCAGCTTTGCACCAAACTGGTCCAGATGTGGAAGTAGCATCTGACAGTCATGCCATATGTGGGCCAGATCTGGGCCGTGGATCCGGGCATATGCTGGGCCAGAGGAGAACAATCATGTGGTAACACAACACTAACTAGAGTCAGACTGAGTCTCAGGTCCGGCTCAGACTGGTTCAGACCAGTTCAGCTGCCTCTGGAAGCTCCTTATCTTCGGTCTCTTATCTCCTGAGTGTTTCTATTCTCATTTTCTTCCATCTTTGGTCGGCCGCTGTCTCCTCTCTCTCTCTCTCTCTCTCTCTACGTCATTCTCTCCATCCTTGCTCGCCCCGCCTCTGGCTGTTATAAACAGCCCGACTCGTCTACCTCCTCCGTCCTCCACTTTGCAGCAGCATGCCTCCAAAGAAAGTGGAACCGAAGAAGACGGAGGTGAAGAAGACGGAGGTGAAGAAGGAGGAACCTCCCCCACCTCCTAAACCCGTAGAGCCGGAGTCCAAACCTCCGGAGGTGGATCTGAAGAGCATCGTGGTGGAGTTCAGTCCGGACCAGATCGAAGAGTTCAGAGACGCCTTCACGCTGTTTGACGAGACGCCCACCGGCGAGATGAAGATCACCTATGCCCAGTGTGGAGACGTGATGCGAGCACTGGGTCACAACCCCACCAACGAGGAGGTGCTGAAGCTGCTGGGGAGGCCGAAGGCGGAGGAGCTGAACGTCAAGCTGCTGGACTTTGACAGCTTCCTGCCCATGCTGCAGCATGTTGCACGCTCCAAGGAGCAGGGCAACTTCGAGGACTTCGTGGAGGGTCTGAGGGTCTTCGACAAGGAGGGGAACGGCACAGTGATGGGGGCGGAGCTACGCCACGTCCTCGCCACGCTGGGAGAGAAGATGACAGAGGACGAGGTGGACCGGCTGATGGTGGGACAGGAGGACGCCAATGGACACATCAACTATACTGAGTTTGTCAAACACATCCTGGCCGGATAGAAAACACTGTCTGAGGATCTGAGGGTCCGGATCAGCGTTCTGCTGTTTGTCCTGTTTCTGTAATAAAACACATCCCTGCAGACAGAGGCTTGTTGATTCGTCTGTTCATCACAGTATTTAATACACACACACACACACACACACACACACACACACACACACACACACACACACACACACAGATGTCATATCAGTGATACTGTGATTAAATGTAACTAATACATTCTAGTAGGAACCAGAGGAACTGAGAACTGCTTTAGAACATGATGAAACGTCAACAGACATGAACACGTTCCTGTGACAGAGACTGACGACTGTGAATCTGTGTAAATGATGATAGAACAAAGGTCAGTCGTCTGTCTGTCTGTCTTTCTGTCTGTCTGTCTCACCCTCTCTCTCTCTCTCTCTCTCTGTCTCCCTCTCTCAATGTCTCACCCTCTCTCTCTCTCCCTCTCTCTCTCTCTCTCTCTCTGTCTCCCTCTCTGTGTCTTTCTCTCTCTCTCTGTTTTTCTTTCTGTCTCTCTTATTGAATCATAAGAATCACAGAGACAACAGCTTCTTCTTCTGCTGCTGCTGCTTCTTCACACACAGGCACAAACCTGTTATTACCTGGTTACACCTGACTGACACCTTCAGGTGTTCAGTTTTCCTGCTGGAGGACAGAGATTTGCAGTGAAATAAAACCAAAGAAGAAGAAGCAGGAGGCCCAGCTGAGTCGTCTTTATTTTTTAGTTTCCATTAGACTTCATCATGTCTTCTATTTAACAGGTGAGCAGACACACCTGAGGAGGTTCAGGTAACAACAGGACACATCTACTCCACTAAATTCTAGATTAAAATTAAATATCTGAAAAACAACTTATTATTCATTTATTATTTTCCTGATTTTCAGACAGGTTCTACATCAACTGGTTCACCAACGACTGGTTCTCCGTCAACTGGCTCTACGTCGACTGATTCTACGTCGACTGGTTCTACTTCATCTAGCTCTACATCAACTGGTTCTACTCTGGATGTTAATGAGGAGTAAATCAATTTTGAGTAAATAAAAACATTTTTTCTGGATGTTCTGTGACGGTGTTTGATGACGTTTATTCAAAAAACAACAGGCTACCAGTCGATGCTAACATCAGCATGCTAACAGGCCTAAGATGACAGTTCTAACATGCTAATATTTAGTAACAGGTAAAATTTTTACTATGTTTACCATTTTAGTTTAGCACGTTAGCATGCTAACACTGGCTTATTGGCAGTTAACACAGCGTACAGCAAGGGCTGATGGGAACATCAGTTGTTCTGTATGTGACCTGATGGTTGCACCAGAGGGAAAGTCAATCCACCAAGTAGATGAAGAGATGTTTATAAACAATAACTTCTGAAATCAATGGTGAAAACATCTGGAAATCATCTGAAAAACATCTGGAAAACATGAAGCTTCTCATGTAACAAACATTTGACTCAGTGAAGTAAAGATTTTACAAACTGATTCAACGCTTCTATTAAAAATATTAAAACCAGAAATCTGAAGGAGGAGGTGGCGAGCTCCTGACTTTTAGTCCAAAAACACTGGACCCTACATTTCCCATAATGCACCTGGACGGATAGTGTCTATTATCGGTTGGTTTTTCTCTGAATAGATGACAGAAGATAATGGCCAGCCAATGAGATGCTCTGATCAGATCTGAGCCTTCGATTGGCTGATCATCGTCCTTCACTCTTATGATTGGCTGACATGCACAGACCCAGCTCCACTCTGATTGCCCAACACTGTGGCGGTCTGCATGCCTCGATTGGCAAGCTGGGCATAGAGGTGGGAGCGGAGGAATCGCGGGTAACTGTCGGTCTCCATCAGGCTGAAAATCTGATCCTGGGCTTGTTGGAAGGAGGTGGGGTTCACACCAAGATGCAGGTTCTGATTGGTTGATTCTCTGACAGACGAGTCCACATTGACCTGGAGACAGAGGAAGGTGGCATCATAAGACCAGTCAATGGACCAAACACAGGACAGATAGACAGACAGACAGACAGGTACCTGTCTTGCTGCTTTGGTTGAAATAAACTCATCATAGATTTTCCAAGCTCTGGTGGCCATCTTGCTGAGGGGGCATGTCCTCTTGAATCTCTCCACAGCCAACCAGAAGTCTAGGTTCTCCTCGCTGAATTCTGATCTCAGGAAGTGACGGAAGACCACCAGACCATCTGACCAATGAGAACGGTGATGAGATTGTTTAGCTAATAGAAACACACTGTCATTACGTAGGCTCTGCCCCTCACTGACTATTGGTTGAACAGGAAGTAGAGTGTCTTACACTGATTGGTCAGCAGAGTTTCCAGACTCTCCGCCCACCTCAGCACTTCCCCCAGAGATGGTCTGAAAAACAAAAAAATTACACCTCAGACCCACTGGAACCAGCAAGAACCAGTAAGAAGCAGCAGGAACCAGCAGAAACCAGTAAGTACCAGCAGGAACCAGTAAGTACCAGCAGGAACCAGTAAGAATCTGCTGGACAAACGCTGGACCCTCTGCTGGACCCTCTTAGAACCAGCTGAAATCAGTAGGACTCCCTTGGAACCAGACAGAACCATTAAGAACTGTGTTCGAACTGGTAAGACTTAGTAGGACCCAGCTGGATCCAGTATACAACATATAAGAACCAGTCTTTACTAGGTTATATGTTTGATGGTTCAGACCTGAGGCCTGTACTAATACCCAGGATAACTTTTAGTTATCTGGTTTAAGTGAACCTAACATTGGCCATCCTGATAACCTGTACTACGAAGCAGGTTATCACCTGGCTCAGTTAACCCTGGGTTTACCTGTCCAGCTATGAGCACGTTCATGTGAAAGAGGTGGAGTTGTTAATTATAAGCAACATCATCTGAACCATGAATGAAGTTCTTAATATTATATGAGAAGAAATGCTGATACTTGCCAGTAAATTCGGTTATAACCACATTCAAAAGTGATATTCAAGAGGGTAAAATGTAGACAATATGATCACATGACTGGAATAAAACTATGTCTAAATATAATTTCTATTAAAGTCAATCTAAAGATATATTGTAAATAAATGCATGAATTATCATTACATTTGAGTGTTTTCACTATGAACATGTGATGCAGGTAAAACAGTTAAAGATAATGTCAGACTGTTTCTCCCGCAGAGAGGAGAGGAAGAGGAGAGGAGTAGTTGATGTCTGATGAGCTTGACCGACTGAAATGTTCATTATAATGATGAAATAATTAACTGCATGTGGCTAATTGTTCTAATCAAAGACATCAGAGGTTTAGTTTTTATTTCCAGTCGTGTCACAGTCTCATGTTGTTCTGAGCTGCAGTGATGAAGAAGAGAGTAAAAGATTCATCACTGTCAAGAATCCTGTCTGATTAAAGAATCTTTGTTCAATTAAAATTAAAATAATAGTTATTATATAGGCTATTTATTTAGCATGATAAACTCTCTGTGCATTTTTTAGGAGCTTTGTTTTAAAACCAGAGAGACACATGGAAAGACTCAATCAGGAAAACTATTCCACTGATTTATATTTTATATCTACTGCTCATTATTATTGATCACTTTATTATAAACTCTTTTGTCCCTGTCAGGATCCTATAGGAATGATGACTCAGTTTTTCCAGTGATCTGATTGGTCAGTAGTTTGGCTGTTGACAGGTTTTGATCTGATCCTCTGAAGTTAACCTGCACCGGAGCAGGTTAGGAGTTTGGCGTAAGTTACCATGGTGATTTACCCTGGTAACAAGTGAACCACAGTCGCAGGACTGAAAACCCAGAGTTAAACCTGAAGTTACCTGATAACCTCAGATCCTGCTTCGTAGTACAGGCCTCTGGTCTTAAGGTACAGGTCAGGATCAGGTTCAGGTCTGGGAATGTAGAGGGAATGTGTTCCTACCTGTTGTTTCTCAGAGCTTTCTCCAAACTGTTACCATGGAAACAGGTACTGTTTTTCCGTCGACGTAGAAACGCCAGGCGACTGCGAACATCAGCAGCTCTGAGGAGGCAAAGACAGAGTCAAAAACAGGAAGTATAAACAAAAACAATAACAAAAACAAATTTGTTTACGTACAGAGTCCTGGTCTTCTTCCTCAGCTGAAGATTCTTGAATTCAGAGTCCTGAACAAACGGAACAACAGATTGTTAGAGTCTACCTGGTTCTATCAGACTCTACTGGTTCCATCAGCCTCTACTGGTTCTATCAGACTCTACTGGTTCTATCAGACTCTACTGGTTCTATCAGACTCTACTGGTTCTATCAGACTCTACTGGTTCTATCAGACTCTACTGGTTCTATCAGACTCTACTGGTTCTATCAGACTCTACTGGTTCTATCAGACTCTACTGGTTCTATCAGACTCTACTGGTTCTATCAGACTCTACTGGTTCTATCAGACTCTACCTGGTTCTATCAGACTCTACTGGTTCTATTAGAGTCTACCTGGTTCTATCAGACTCTACTGGTTCTATCAGAGTCTACTGGTTCCATCAGACTCTACTGGTTCCATCAGACTCTACTGGTTCTATCAGACTCTACTGGTTCCATCAGACTCTACTGGTTCTATCAGACTCTACTGGTTCCATCAGACTCTACTGGTTCCATCAGACTCTACTGGTTCTATCAGACTCTACCTGGTTCTATCAGACTCTACTGGTTCTATTAGAGTCTACCTGGTTCTATCAGACTCTACTGGTTCTATCAGAGTCTACTGGTTCTATCAGACTCTACTGGTTCTATTAGAGTCTACCTGGTTCTATCAGAGTCTACTGGTTCTATCAGAGTCTACCTGGTTCTATCAGACTCTACTGGTTCTATTAGAGTCTACCTGGTTCTATCAGACTCTACTGGTTCTATTAGAGTCTACCTGGTTCTATCAGACTCTACTGGTTCTATCAGAGTCTACCTGGTTCTATCAGACTCTACTGGTTCTATTAGAGTCTACCTGGTTCTATCAGACTCTACTGGTTCTATTAGAGTCTACCTGGTTCTATCAGACTCTACTGGTTCTATCAGAGTCTACCTGGTTCTATCAGACTCTACTGGTTCTATTAGAGTCTACCTGGTTCTATCAGACTCTACTGGTTCTATCAGAGTCTACCTGGTTCTATCAGACTCTACTGGTTCTATCAGAGTCTACCTGGTTCTATCAGACTCTACTGGTTCTATCAGAGTCTACCTGGTTCTATCAGACTCTACTGGTTCTATCAGAGTCTACCTGGTTCTATCAGACTCTACTGGTTCTATCAGAGTCTACCTGGTTCTATCAGACTCTACTGGTTCTATCAGAGTCTACCTGGTTCTATCAGACTCTACTGGTTCTATCAGAGTCTACCTGGTTCTATCAGACTCTACTGGTTCTATCAGAGTCTACCTGGTTCTATCAGACTCTACTGGTTCTATCAGAGTCTACCTGGTTCTATCAGACTCTACTGGTTCTATCAGAGTGTTGGAATAATTGTATATATGGATTTATCTCATATTTACTAATTAACCATGTATCCTGCTTTACAGTCCTATAATCATGCATACAGTCTGTCTTGTGATGAAGTTGTGTTACAGGGAGTAGCTGATAAAGGGGATCACGATGCACAGAGCAGACTGGAGCCTGATTGTTCTACTTCTACATCATGGGATGAACATTTGAACAATGTATCATCAGGCACCCGTCATATTGCTTTTGTGTGATTCTCAGTTCTTTAAGATAAGCAATGCCTTGTAACTAAGGAATGCCTGGTGTGATAATAAAAAGAGAGGAGACGGAGTTGGAGATTGTAACTGAGCATATCTCTGTCCGTTCTCCTCGCGAGTAAGAAATAACGCTCTTGTCTTTCTCTTCTTTGTGTCAGTATTAAATGTCTTAGGTGGTGTAAACCTGACACAGAGTCTACCTGGTTCCATCAGACTCTACTGGTTCTTTAAAGTTATTTTTTGGGCAGGACAGTAGAGAGACAGGAGATGGGGAGGCAGAGGAATGACACGCAGGAAAGGGCCGTCCAAAGCGGGAATCGAACCGGGGGCCGACTGCAGTGAGGACTGTAGCCTCTATATATGGGGCGCCTGCGCTACGCGACGCCCCAGTCTCTACTGGTTCTATTAGAGTCTACCTGGTTCTATCAGACTCTACTGGTTCTGTCAGACTCCCCCTGGTTTACCAGACTGTACCTGGTACTGTAAGACTCTAAGATTGCTCTCTGGCAGAGTCTTTTGGACTTTAGATGTCTCTACTGGATTCTTCTAGTCACTACTGTTCTCTTCTGGGTTCCACGTGTTTATACTGGACTGTGCTTATATCTGCTATCCTGACTATATGAGATCAATCTAGACTAGATTGCTCTTTACTGGTTCCGTACTGGTCTGTTAGTCTGTACTGTTCTGTTCTGGTCGATACTGATTTTGTCTAGTCTGTACTGGTCTCTGCTGGTTTTACGTGTCTGTCCTGGCCCATAATGGGTCTCTAGTGGTCTCTGCTGGTCTCTACCTTGGGGCCATTAAGCAGCAGTAGCATTTGGTGGAGAGACCCCCCCCGTCTTGTCAGCTGTCTCCTCAGAGTGTGGGGGGAGGGGGGTTGGGTGATGGGTTCTGTGCTGGGTTCAGGGTCAAAGGTCGAGGAACGGGTTAGTCGGTGGATGGTGCTGTCAGACAGGAAGCGGGGCGATCGAGATTCCTGCAGCAGAGAACCCTCAGAGAGCGAGCGATGCAGAACTGAATAACAAATAATCAATCAATCAATCAAAGGACCAGACAGGAAACACAACAGAAGCATTAGATCAAATGACATTTCAGCTCACTGACCTGCAGGTCTGTAGGTGGAGGTGAACTCCTCAGCAGCTCCTCTCTCCTCCCCCTCCTCCTCTTCATCATCGTTACTCTCCTCCTCTTCCTCCTCCTTCATGTTGAAATGGTGGGGGCTCAGAAGAAGGCCCCGCCCCCAAACACCTCCCACATTCTCTGATGTTTCAGAGGCACTCTCCCCCTCCCCTTGCTGCCGTTCCTCTTCCTCCTCCTCTGCTCTCCCTCTATCCTTCCAGACCGGACTCCTCTGGGTGGAGATGGAGGTTGGGGGAGGTGGGGGGAGGAGGTGAGGTAGAGCAGTGATGGTCCTGGTTGAAGGTGAGGTGGAAGAGGAGGTGTATGGAGAAAGAGAGGAGAAGGGGGGAGGAGGAGGAGTGGAGGAGGAGAAGGGAGAGCTTGGGGAGTAAGGAGAGGGAGGTCTGAGAGCATCACAGAGGGAGGAGTAGGGGGAGGAGGGGCGGCAAAGTGGGGGATCAGGGGACGAGTAAGGAGAGGAGGGACGATAGACGGGGTCAGACTGACTGAGAGAGAGGAGGCCAAAGTCTGAGGGGAGGTCTGAAAGCTAGGGGGGGGAGGGGGGAGGGGAAAAGAGAGAGAGGGGGGGGGGGGTGTGTTCATGTTAATGTGAGTCTCAAAGACCTCACAGGTGTAGCATCAAAGTAAACCTCTGTTGTACCTGATGGCTGTGTGCAGTCTCCGTGGCGACCAGCTGGTGATGGATGTTGTCATGGAGACACAGACGAACTCTGACCTTCTGCTCGATGCTGAAAGACTCAAGACTGAAGACGCAATGGGAACACATCTGAGACGTCTGCAGGAAGTATAGGTGGAGCGGCTCTGATGACACTGAACACAACAAAAACACGTAACTCTGTGTACAACAACAACATCATCAACATGTTTCTGTGTGTACAACAACAACAACAACAACAACACATCACTCTGTGTACAACAACAACAACAACAACATGTTACTGTGTGTACAACAACAACAACATGCCTGAGAGGTCTGTAGGAAGTAGAGGTGGAGCAGCTTCAATGACAATGAATACAACAACAACAATAATAACAAAAATAAATATAATAATAATAATGGTGGTACCCTCTCTGAGCTGCAGTGTGTTCAGGTACAGTGGACTCTGTAGGACGTTGCAGCGTCCAGCTTCGTCCTCTCTGGTCAACAACAGCAGGTCACTGTAGATCAACACTGTCACCTGAAACACACACACACACACACACACACACACACACACACACACACACACACACACACACACACACACACACATCCATGGCTGTAACAAAACCTGAGACAACAGACACACAAACCACAGTGACATCATCAAATCCAGACGCGTTTCCTGTACAGGAGTCCATGTCAGTGCTCGTGGTCTGAATGTGATGTCACTCTGACCTCTGACCTGCTAATGTTAGACTCCACAGACGACTCATCTTCACTGTTACTGAAAATGTGAAACTAAAACACTGCAGGTTCCCAGAAACTGTGTGTGTGTGTGTGTGTGTGTGTGTGTGTGTGTGTGTGTGTGTGTGTGTGTGTGTGTGTGTGTGTGTGTGTGTGTGTGTCAGCAGTAAGATCTATTAGAGTGAAACTGATCCTGGTTCAGGTCTCTGAGGTCATTGAGTCCTTCAGGATCAGGTTCAGTCTGGATTCTTACTGAACAACATTTCCACTCATGAGGATAAAAACTGCAGAACTCTGATGCAGAATCGATCAATAACAGTTAGCAGTACTATGAACAGTACTGTTTACAGTATATCTACTGAATATTTACAGTATATTTACAATAGCGTTAGCTTGGTAGTACTGTTGGTGGTGCTGTTAGCAGCAGTAGTATTTGAAGTACATCTGCAGTATATATCCAGTACTGTTACCTTTGCAGGCAGCAAGTCTGCCTGGTGCAGAACCATTTCCTCTGACATCAGCAGGGTTCTGTCTGGGCTGCACAGATCCAGAGGCTAAAAAAATAGGAACAACAGGTGGATGAAAATGTCTTTGGTTCTAAAGTTGATGCTCTAGGCTACTGGGCTAAATGAGGGGCTTCCGTTTTAATGTTTTGTTTTCATGATCTCAGTTTCTAAACTAGATTATAACTCAAAGGTCAAAGGTCAGGGAAGTGGTTCTGTGTTGTGACCTGAATGAAGATGTTTGAGGCTAGATGTAAGGGTCTCGAATGGTTCTTCTTGGTTCTGGATCAGGTTAAAGGTTGTATGTTCTGACCTGGACAAAGATGGGGAAGATGAGGGTTTTGGGCGCCAGTGTGACATAGGTTCCATAGGTGGAGCAGGGCAGGTGTGATTGGACGATGGTGCAGTTCTGGTAGTTGCCATAGTTACTGGGTGCACCTGGAGAGGAGGAAGATGAGGAGGGGGAGGAGGGGGGTGGGGGCAGGGTGGAGGTATGGCTGGTGAATGGTTGCCATGATGACTCGGGTTGAGAGTCGTGTAGGAGGCTCTGACCTCTGCTGGGGTGGGTCTGGTACAGACGACCTGATAATTGATGACACATATACATGAGTTTATCATAAATATACTGAACAATGTTCAGAGCGATCAATACTCACCAATCGTCCTGTTCCTGTCATGATAAACTGGCTGCAAGAGCTGGAACACAGACACAGAACAGATGGAGAACGTTCGTACTGTCACATCAGAACACCACAGGAGTTCTTCACAGCATTAAAGTGTTAGAACAATTTTCTTCTATTTGACTGGTGGTTATGTTCTAGGTCAGTGTCAGCTTCCATGGTGAGGTTCTACCTGTGCTTCAGACTGTGAGTTCTCAGTTGTGGACTGGACAAAGATCCGAGCTGAGAGGTAAAAGGTTCAAGGTGATGTTCTAGGTCAGGTAAAAGTATCTTCGAGGTTGGGGTTAGGTCATATGCAGGAAAATGTTGTTCTCAGTATGTTCATATTCAGGTGAAAGGTTCTCAGTTACGTTGTAGTTCAGGTGAAAGGTTCTCAGTTATGTTCTCATTCAGATGAAAGGTTCTCAGTTACGTTGTAGTTCAGGTGAAAGGTTCTCAATTATGTTCTCAGTCAGGTGAAATGTTCTTGGTTATATTTTAGTTCTGGTGAAAGGTTCTCAGTTATGTTCTAGTTCAGATGAAAGGTTCTCAGTTACATTCTAGTTCAGGTGAAAGGTTTTCAGTTATGGTCTCAGTCAGGGGAAAGATTCTCCGTTATGTTCTAGAACAGATGAAAGGTTCTCAGTTATTTTCCCAGTCAGATGAAAGGTTCTCAGTTATTTTCCCAGTCAGATGAAAGGTTCTCAGTTATTTTCCCAGTCATGTGAAAGGTGCTCAGTTGCGTGCTAGTTCAGGTGAAAGGTTCTCAGTTATGTTCTAGTTCAGATGAAAGGTTCTCAGTTACATTCTAGTTCAGGTGAAAGGTTTTCAGTTATGGTCTCAGTCAGGGGAAAGATTCTCCATTATGTTCTAGAACAGATGAAAGGTTCTCAGTTATTTTCCCAGTCATGTGAAAGGTGCTCAGTTGCGTGCTAGTTCAGGTGAAAGGTTCTCAGTTATGTTCTAGTTCAGATGAAAGGTTCTCAGTTACATTCTAGTTCAGGTGAAAGGTTTTCAGTTATGGTCTCAGTCAGGGGAAAGATTCTCCATTATGTTCTAGAACAGATGAAAGGTTCTCAGTTATTTTCCCAGTCATGTGAAAGGTGCTCAGTTGCGTGCTAGTTCAGGTGAAAGGTTCTCAGTTATGTTCTAGTTCAGATGAAAGGTTCTCAGTTATGTTCTCAGTCAGTTGAAAGGTTTCATGTTCTCATTCCAAGTCAAGTGATCGGCTGTGTTATGTTTATGATGCCGCCTCGTCAGACTCACCTGTCCTCCTGGACTGACAGGTGACAGGATGATGTAATTGTCTCCATTTGATGATGTCACACGGGTGCCCTTTAGTGTGGTGGTGCGTGGGGAGTACTCAGTCATGTCCTGTACTTCCTCCTCCTCCTCCTCCTCCTCCTGGTCCTCCTTTCTGTCCCTCCACAGAGAACCCAGAGCTCCCAAAGTGGAATGCACCCTCGACCCTTGATCCCGTCTGCGGCCATGTTTACTGTGGGTGGGGTGAGGCAGCAACTTCCTGCCCGTTGTCTAGGAGACAAAGGAATGTTAGCTTAGCATAAAGACTGCTAGCTTCACCGTTGAGCTCATCTGTCATCTGACAGCACAGACCAGCAGGTTCTCAGTGGAGGAGGAAGTAAAACTAGGTGCACTGAACTATCAAAATAAAAGTCTCAATATTCAGGTTGATGATGATGATGCTGATGAAGAAGATCTTCAGACTCCACCACTGGCTCCAAGACATCACTGCTACTGAATGGTTCTGTTTATGTTTGTGTGTGTGTGTGTGTGTGTGTGTGTGTGTGTGTGTGTGTGTGTGTGTGTGTG